CATCATCGTCGTCGTCATCATCGCCACTGTCAGCCTGCACATACTCATGTTTACGTCCACTATCGTTAGCGTTTGTATCGAGCTTCATGCTCACCAGCATCCTGGTGTCAGACGTGGTATTATGTTCATACTAGCTCACACCTTCATCCTCTCCGAAATATCATGCAGTGAGCGCCCGCAGCCGATAACTTGGTCGAGTGCCAGGCTGGGACGCCGCAAAAGCGACCACCTTTCTCGGAGCCGGTGCCCCGGTGGGGCCCGGTGGGGCTTTGGCCCTTGCAGATGCGGGAGGCTTCTGTGCGTTTGCATCCCTCCGCCGATACCAGGATCCTGCCCTTGCTGGACCAGGCCACGGCCCAACAAAGTCGCGAGAAATCTGAGCTCCCTTATCTGCTGCAGGTTGAGCTGCCGGGAGTCAAAGCTAGAGCTTAGCGCCGAGTGCAAAAAGCCGAGAAGCTGCCCTTGCAAAGCGAAGCGTGGGTGTCCGTGAACTGAGCCGCTGAGCCTGCTCTTCCACGGAGCTTCTTTCTCAGAGTCAGCTAAGTTCCGACGCAGATTCCGAGCACAGAGCCTCGAGCTCCACCACCCCCGGTGTCTGAGCTAGCGCAAGTGTTCCCCAGCTCCCACGCGAAGCCTTCTCTGCCCAAAGTGGCAGAAGTTAAGAGCTGGACGCCATGATGCCTATGAGCGACGGTATGTCCGACACGACCCGGGCAATTTATCGGAGGACAGGCCTTGCTATTTCTCGAAGATGAACCTGACGCGGAACTACTGTGCCAGGAGCCCTCTCCATTTGACAAAGGGCTCCTGGCTTGATGTGCCAGAGAGTGTCCGGGCCTGAGCTTGTCCCGCTCCGGTTCACCAAGCATGATCTTGAACAAGCAACGCATGATAAAAGCACGGCTTCCTGCCGCATGTCGACGAACGGTGTAAAGTCGTGCAACGCCTTGGCACCCAAATTCCGTCAAAGAAGCATGTACTCTCCAGGTGTCAGTTACGCCGGTGCCTCTTCTTCTGGACATTGAGTCTTGAGGAGGGTCTAGGCTTTTCTTAGCAAGTCTGTGTCAGGTCAGCTGCTCAACGAGCTGACATCAACCGTGCTGTGCATCTTATCAAGGCCACGCCATGTCCATCGAAAGTTGCCCCGTCAGAAGACACTCTTAAGCTGCCCTGGCTTGGATGCTCCCCATGCCCAGGGAAAGGTGTTTGACGCACCTCGCAGCAAGCTCAGCGAAGATGCCCGGTAATCCTTCCTTGGCACCAGCATTTGTTCGCGTGCCTAGGAGGTGCCAGTCGGTCCTGCAGCGATTTCTCTTTGAGGTGGCAGGAACGCAGCTGAGAGCAGCCGAGACTTTCAACGCAGGCAGCGCGCAGTCGTTTCCGGCAGGACAGTTCAGACCTCGGCCTCCCTCCGAGCCGGGGGGCTCAACTTTCGAAATTCCGACTTTACCCGCTCCAAGAGCTGACTCAGAGGTTCCGGTAGCCAAGTCGAAGCTGGCGCCTCAGATCTGAGCGTCGGTCGCAGTGCCGTCTGCCTGGCACGAGCCCTGTCGTGGCCATTCTCCTCCCACCTTTTTGAAGCAGGGCTCAGCCAGCAGCCAGACGCGATGGCGCTGCAAGCGATTGCTGGGACCGCCAGGCCCAGCCGGCTCTTGGAGTCGCATCAGGGCTCCCGCTCCGCCCGGGCCCAGGTGCTTCACTCGCTCTGTTTCCTGCATCAAGTGACTTTATAAGTGTGTGCGCAGTGTGTATAGGTGGAGTGAAGTGGGGTAAAGAGAGCTTGCTTCCCTGACAGGTTCACCGACCTCCAAGCACCGCAACTGTGGCGGCCGTGACGGCCACTAGACGCTACGTTGTCGCTGCATCTGCCGGCCTGGCCATGTCTCGGAGACGCTTAGAAAACTCGAGATCCACCGTTGCTCGACGAGCCCAGGAGCTAAGAAGGGACGGCTCGCCAAACCGAGAAGTGCTCCTCGAGGACATCCTGACCTTCAGCAGCATCTTCATGGTTGTTTGGGTCTTCGTTTTCCCTGGGAGCGCATGGGTGGGGTCGTCCGCCCAGTACGACGGATGGCTGCGAAACATCTTCGAAATGTTCTTCTCTGACTTGGGTCCTTCATCTCTGCTCCTGAAGTACAACCGCTTTGGCTCGCTTCTCGAATGGATGCATGCGGTGCCCGGGGCGGTTTGGTGTCTCCTAGCCCCTCTGCAACTGGTGCCGGAGTGCCGGGCTTGGCTAGGCGAGAAGCACGAAGATGCTGGCAGGCTCATGTTGAGTGCAGCTGCCGTTCTCATGGTGGGCCCCTTGGCTTGCAGAGAAGTCGACACCTGCTGCCCAGGATTTGCTCTCCCCCTCCCCCTCCCCCTCGCTCTCTCTCTCTCTCTTCTTTCTCCTTTTGGTGTGAGCCTCCTTTCGCAACAGAGGCTTCTTGCTGATTGATGCCAACCACCTGACAGCTGACAGAGTGGACTTTGCCACGGGCGGAAGTCTTGCCGATGCAGCAGATGCTTGGAGCACGAGTGTTGCCGCTTGGCTGCCTCCCTTTAATCAGGGGGGCATGTATGTCATTGCAGCGTGGTTTGTGTACACCGGCATTCAGACCTTCCGAACTGGCACTGCCCATGCAGCTGATCACGGAAGCTGGGCATTAAGGCCAGCTGCACTCTTTGGGCCCAGTCGGACTTCCATCGCATGCAATGCGCTAACGTGTTGAGTACGTCACCTACGGTTGCATGTGTCAGAGCATGGACCTAAGAGCACCAAGGCCCCAGTTCAGTTGCATGTCAGCAAACACACGCTGCATTGCGGAAACCTGGAGTCACTCACACATCCACCGCATAAATCTCAAGAGGCCCTGAGTATGTCCGAGCCTTGATGTCTTCCTACATTGAGCAAACAGACAGCAGATGGTCAGAATTATGCAGGGCCCTCCCCCTGACCGAAGCTGGGTCTTCCGCCAGGCACGCTGCCGCGGGCCTGTGGGTAGCAGCCCAGCGGCCAATGTTTGCCGCCGTGCGCGTGGCGCAGGGCTTGCTGGGCTTTGGTGGATCCTTAGCGGAGGCCGATGCCTTCTACTGCTCGGCGTATGTGGTCACGGCCGCTTACATTGCCTTTGCAGAGGTTGCCATCCGTGGCAGAACGAATTCGACTGCTGCAGCGCGCTCCGAAAGAGAAAATGTGCCTTCACCCCGTGCCATGCTGCTCCACAATGAAACAGTTTCTTCGCCCCTCGTGCAATGTTTGCAAGTCATGTCACTGTAGGCCGTTTTTTTCGAGAACGCTGCATCGAAGAAGCAGCCGCTCCCCAAAATTGCGCGCAGATGCCAGGAGCCACGTGGGTTTTTTTATTCTGCGCACGAGAAAGGTTCATGCAAAGAAGCAGGCGTCGTTTCGACAACAGTGCCTTCGGGCGGAAAACACGCGCAGCTGATGCTCATGATGCTCGCTTGGGAGCCGACTTGCCCCGATAATACGTGCAGCTGATGCTCATCATGCTCGCTGCCAAGTAACGGCTGGAGCAACTTTGCTTGAAAACACACGCAGCTGATGCTCATGATGCTCGTTTGGGTGCTCCTCCATTCGTTCTGATACCCTAGAAGCCTTCCCCGCTAGTCCAAACACCCTGTAACATGTTTTCTCTTGGGGGTCAGCCCTGAAAGGGTTCAGGCATTGGCATACATTTCCCCGAAAGTCGGCGGCTGTACTCGGAAGAGATCACAGGATGTGACAAGACTCGTCATGCTAGTTTGGACAACGGCCGGTCGCGACTGCGTCCGGGAAAGCCTTTCAAGCGCAGAGGGGGGTGGGAAGATGTCTCGGAGGTCGGCAGGGCCTCCAGCGCTTCCGGAGGGAAACGCCTGGAAGTCGCATCACGTCCATCGTCCATCATCGTACCACGCTAGCGACCATGCAAAACGCTTCGCCGGTGCTCGACGCCGGCAGGGGAATCGGGTTGCAAGGGCCGCGTGGCCGAGGCGCTTCAGCCGAAATGGAGCTTCGAGTTTGGTGCTCAGCACAACTGAAAGGATGGACATGGCTCAGCGACTCAGCTTCCGAAAGGAAGGTGCCCTCCTTGATTCCAAGCCCGCTAGAACGGGACAGAGGACCGAGATTTCTGGAGCCAAATAGAGCCTGCTTGGGTCTTTCTCGACAGAATCGCTCAGCGCAGGGCTCCTCGGACGATCCTGTGCTGGAAAGCCGCCATCCATGCCTGCCACCGAGACCTGCTGCGCATGAAGTCTCCATGGATGAGTACTGTAGCCTTTCACATGCACAGGCTTCGCACGGAGATGTCCCGGACGACCTCCAGGCCAGATCCCGCACTGCTCGGAGTTCCGGTTTTGTGCCTAGGCTGGTGCGTGTATAGGACAGTGTATAAAGTTTATAGCCTGCTTTAACAAAGTGCATCCTGTGGCAAATGCACTCCACAGCCGGACAGGTCGGACGCAACGAAGTTCTCTGCTCCGTGGACTGGATATATGTCAGGTGCAGCTGCTGAGCTGCTGTGTCGCCTTGCCCGTGCGCACGGGCATGTCGTGACGACGTTTCCCAACAGCGGGCTCAGGCGTCTGAAGTGTAGCCCCAAGCAAGAGAGATTAAAGCTGACACATCAGCTCTACCGGACAAGGGAAGTTGAGTGAAGTGGGGTACGTTGATGGGAACGGATGCAGCGAAGCGGCAGACGGCAGAGGACGAAGGTCGTAGCGCAGTCGCTATAGGCGAGAGCCGTGTGCGAGAGCCATGGTCAGGGCCCCGTGGGCAGAGCCACGGTCAGGGCCTACTTGTAGCACCTTTTGAGGATTTGAGGGGCTCGAGGCGATGATTTCGGTGATAATGCCTTGCCGGAACGGATGGCCTTTTCTGCCTTGGGCCGTGGATGATCTTGCTTCCAGCAGCACCACGCTGGAGATCCTCATCTGTGACGACGGCAGCAGCGATGGCTCCGAGAGGTGGCTCCAGGCCCTCGAAGCGCAGAGCCAAGAGAGCCAAGAGAGCCANNGAGAGCCAGGCTGAGGAGGGGATCCTCCTGCCGGAGGAGCGAGCGGAGGAGCAAGCGGAGGAGGAGGAGCGGGCCTTTGTCCAGCAGGCCGGAGCGAGCTGAAAAAAGCTCGTCAAGAACGTGGCGCTATGCTTGACCGGGCTGAGGTCCCGTGGCCGGGTGAGGATGGGCGCACCCCAACGCCTGCCGCGGTCGCGGCCAAGCTCCAAAGCGCCGGACATCGTTTGGTTGTGCTGAGCCCTGGCTGAGATCGTGCGGGAAGAGCGCCGCATGATGACTTCCAGTGATCCGAGGAGCAGCGGCGGGCGCGGCCAAGGAGCAGCGCAGAATGTCACTGGCCTGGTTCTGCCTGCATGTGCTCGCATGCAAGGCCTTGCATGTCACGCTGTTCTGGTCATCTCGTCGTCTCGTTCCTAGGCTTGCCTGGAGGCTGCCAGCTCCCCTCTGATCGGTCTGATGGATGCAGACGACCGAGGGGACCCGGAGCGCTTTGCACGGCTTCTGGAAGCCCTCAAGAAGAACCCGGACTGGGACGGAGCCTGCAGTGCAGTGCGCATCTTTGGCTCTGTCTCCGAGGCCAGAAACTGTTCGTCAGATGCGACCTGCATCATAAAGCCTTGCATGAACCGCGATGCCTTGTGCGGAGGGCATGGCACGCTACGTGCAGTGGCAGAACAGCCTGCAGGAGCCGGAGGCCCGGAGGATGCTGAAACAGCGCCACGCTTACGGCCTTGGCTTTGTCTTGTCGCAGACCCTCTAAGATCGCGAGGAAGTGATGCTGAATCGCTTCGTGGAAATACCTGGCTTGCACCAGTCAGGGCTTTACCCAAGGCGCAATCCTCCAAGGAAACGTCCGCAGAGGGTTGTCTTTGTTTTCTCTGGGCAGGTCATTGCTCTGGGACAAGTTGCAGGGCTATCGAGACCTCCCCGGCTGGCCGATCGACATCGACACTTGGATGCGGCCCGGATGAATTCTGACTTTGAAAGCTCAGTGATGTCTCTTCAGCCTCAATATTTTGAGCTTCGAGGCGCCTGGCAGAGTCAGGAGCCCGCATTGGCAAGGTGGGGTGCAACACAACTTCTCTCTCTTCCGGATGTCACTTCTATCGGACAGCAAAGAGTGCGTGCTGAAATCTGAACCCTACTTCCGGTACTGGTATCCCAGGTACGGGACGAACTCTACGGCTGGCGCCAGCATGTGCTTCAGAGTACAAGGCCAGGAGAGCAGGCCTCTCCTTCTCTGCAAATGCTCTCCTGTAGCTACTGCGCTGCATCGGAACACACACACACACACATGTGTGTGTGTGTGTGTGTGTGTCTGTGTGTGTCTGTGTCTGTGTCTGTGTATGCGGCGTATGTATGTATCATACATAATATGTATGTACACATACGTACATAAACA